TGCACTGCAGCCCGGGAGCGACTTCCACCGGCAGAGCCAGCCGGCGGCCCGAGCCGCATCGCCGCCCCCGCCGCACCAGGCCTGTGAGGGAGCACCCCGGGAGGGCCGGGGTGGCCGCGGCGGCGAGAGTTGCCTCTCCTGGTCCCAGAGGGCGGTGTCAGGGACGAGGGCAGGGCCTGCGCGGCCGCCGGGAGGAGGCAAGCGCCAGGATCCTGGGCTGGGAGCCCGTCGGTGCCGCCCGCCACCCAGCTGGGCGAGGGTCGGGAGTGCCCACGTGGTGGGAAAGTTTCGAGACAGCAAAAGTGGCCCGGCACTGCGGGGGTTGGGGGGAGGGGAGAGGGCCGCTCGCCCCTCCTTCTCGATCTGGCAGAAAGGAAAAAGTGGAGGGAAGCGGGGGTGGGAGTGTGGGAGGGGGGAGCGTGCAGCACCGACCTGAACAGATTCCACCTCTCCCCCCCCCCTCCGGGAAGCCGGAGCAGGGAGGCACGGACAGCCTCCTCCCGCACGGCCAGGGCGAGACTCCTCACCAAACACACACACACACACCACCACCACCACCACCACCACCACCACCCGTTTTGTTTTGTTTTTTGTGTTGTTTTTTTTTTTTTGCCAACGTCTATCTCAACGCGCGCGCACATACGGAGATTGTGCGGCTTTTTTTTCCCCTTGGGAGAAAAAACAAGGAGATTAAAAGACGAGAGGGCAAAGAGAAGAACTCCTCCTCGGCGGTCTCTGCACTCTGTGTTGCGGCCGGGCGCGGGGACGCAGCTGCCACTCGCCCGCTCACTCCCGGCCCTGCGGCGTGTGCCACTGGGAGAGCGAGCTACAGCACCCGCACCCGGGGACGTTGCGAGAGTTTTCGGCGCTCGAGCCCACATCGCCGCCACCGCGGCAGGCAGAAGAGCCAGGGGCGAGAAGGGCCTTGCCTCCGCTTCGCCTTCCTCACACGGCACCCCGCGCCCAGCCGGCCCGCGCAGGCAGGCAGAGGGAGGGAGGGAGCAGCGAGGAGGCGGGCGGAGCAGAGGCCCCGGCGAGGCGCGCAGCGGCCGGCCCGCCCGCCGGTGGATGCGGCGCCCCGGGAGCCTGGAAACAACTTTGCCGTGTGACGCGCCGGGAGGACTGCAGGGCCCGCGGCCGGGGGCTCCGCGCCGCCTCTGAGCGGGCCCGCACTCCCCGCACTGCGCTCGCTCCGCCGCCTGCCCGCCGGCCCGCGGCGAGGACGACCCGCCCGTCGCCGCCACTGGCGGCTCATCCTCAGCGCGAGGGCGAGGCGCTCAGGTGCGAGCGCGGGGCCCCGCCGCAGCGCCAGCCGCAGCGCCGCGCCAAGCCGCGCCCGGCTCCGCTCCGGGGGCTCCGGCGCCTTCGCTTCTGTCTCGACCAAGTTGCATCGGCTGGCCCTTTCGCCACCTTCCCCACCCGGCGGCTAAGCCACCGCTCCGCCGCTTTCGCTTCATCCGAGCGGGGGCTGCGGGGCCCCGACGCGGAGAGGATGGCGAGAAGGCTGCAGATGCCGAGGCACTCCGAGACGCCCGGGCGGCAGTGACCCTCCGGCCTCCGCCTCGCCCCACGCGCTTCTCCGGCCTCCGCGACCCTCGGCGCCCCTTCCCAGCCGCGCGCAAACCCCTGCGGCCCGGCCGGCTCCCTCCCCCTGCGAGCCGGCGGCGGCCCTCCGGGCGGGCGGGCG